AAATGTAAGTAATGGGTAGGATTCCAGCGAAAACCTGAGGACTGGAAGGTCTGGGCATAGGAATGCACTCCCCGTACAGAGGTACCCCACAGGTCATGGAGAATAACAGCGAATCCCCGGGTTTCATCCAAAATGAAAACACACGGCAGTGTTGCCAACACCCTGCAAGGACAGAAGAAGCCGTCAGCCCTCTCCCTCCTCTGACGGGCCAGGCACCACTGTCCCCGGCCTCTCGTCCTCAGATTTCCACAGGCGTGTCGTTTCGTTGGTGTCTCTGAACTGGTTTTTGATTTTAACGTAAAGTCGCCAGCTCCTTCGTACAATTTAAATTCCAGCTTGTCGATGACCTAATGCATCGCGGTTTTTTATTAAAGGAGGAACGGCAGATACGTTTTCTCCACAGGGCCTAAGATGCTGACGGTGATCGATTGGTCCACAAGTGCTCCCGCTGAACGGGGGCCTTTTATTTCCCACCCAAAGCAGGGACCGTGATGATGGAAATTGCAGCCTTTGCGAGAACTCCCACGTAAGGCTTGCAAGTGTCGTCTTGAAACGCGTCGGGTCTCTGGCGGTGGACAGCTGCCTCCTGTGTTCCTTTGTGTGACAAGAGGCTGGGTGGGTGCTGGGACACTTGTGCTGTGCCCTGGATGAATGACAAGTGACCGTGTCTTTCTTGTTTTACTTTCAGCTCACTCCGGTCGGCACCACCATATTTACAGGGTTTTCAGGAGACAACGGAGCTACAGACATAGATGATGGACCAAATGGGCAGATAGAATACGTCATCCAGTACAATCCGGAGGACCCGGTATGTCAGCCCCCACCTGCAGTGTGGACTCTCTGAGGGATGTTTACTGCAGCTGGCACTTACCATATTGTCACAACCCTTAGCTCCTCCAGCCATGTTAGTGTCCTCCTGCTGTTACCAGCCATCCCAGAATTACAGTCTTTTAACTATTTGTGGTATACTTCCAAAACTTTTAGAAAGGCTTTGTGGGCTTGGGAAATAACAATTTAAAAATATTTATAGGTGTAATATGCCATGGTCACCTCATTTGCATTATGTGTGCAGACTCCTAAGCATCGTAAATAAACCACCGGGGATGACGTCACCAGTATGATGCGTGTGCTTTGTGGCTCTTACAAAGTGACATCACTGCCCCTTCTCCACCAGTGAAGCCTCAGGAAGACAAGGGACAAAGCTGGTTTTTTTAATACTTATTTTTGAGAGAGAGAGAGAGAGAAGGACAGAATGTGAGCCAGACACACTGGCTTTTTTATGCTTATTTATTTTTTAGAGAGAGAGATGCAGAGTGTGAGTGGGGGAGGAGCAGAGAGAAAGAGGAAGAGAGAGAGTCTGAAGCAGGTTCCAGGCTCCGAGCTGTCAGCACAGCGCCCGACGCGGGGCTGGAACTCACCAACCGCGAGATCATGACCTAAGCTGAAGTCGGACGCTTAACCGACTGAGCCACCCAGGTGCCCCACGTTTGTCTTTTTAAAGATTAATTACTTATGTTTTTATTAGACCGTGGGATTTCTGCACCACGTCTCCCATGGGGCTGTGAGAGTGTTTCCCCCACTCTGGTACGTGAGAGAGCACGCTGATAAAGGCCACCTGAGCCTGGGCTGGCATGACCGCCCTCTGTCTTCCTCCTCCTCTCAGCCCAGACGGGTTGTCAGGGCACCGTGGCTGCCCCACAGCACTTCTGAAGTGAATTTTCTCAGTGACTACTTCTCCTTTATGTTTAATATTGGGAAAAAGAAAGGTGTGGAAGTTAATGTTCTGTCTTTACTTTTAAATTATGGTTTTGGCATATAAGCTTTAAACAAACATGAAAACAAACAAAAACATTGAGCTTGTAGAGACCAAGAATGGCCGACAGGACTTACCTCCCAAATCTACCCTCAAAACTCTGAGTCGTGAAAGCACAGTCTCATTTTCTTTTCTTTTCTTTTTTTTTTTTATTCTCAAGTTAGTTAACTTACGACACCCAGTGCTCATCCCAACAAGTTCCTTCCTTAATGCCCATCCTCCCCACCCAACAGCCCCCTCCCCCCCATCAACCCTCAGTTTGTTCTCTGTATTTAAGGGTCTGTTATTGGTTTGCCTCCCAGGTCTGTTATTGGTTTCACTCCACCTGAGTGAAATCATGATATCTGTCTTTCTCTGACTTGTTTCTCTCAGCATAGCCCCCTCCAGCTGTATCCTTCTGGAAGCTCAGTTGGTGGGTAGGAGGGAGCTGGGCTCGAAGGTGTGTGGCTGGCCAGCTCTGCTTGGTGCCTCTGAGCCCTGGAGTCAGGACCGGGTTCAGGTCAGCATGGGCTCCACCCTGTCTCCACTGCATCCTGATAAAATGGTTTAGTCCTCATGCTAAACTTTTGTAAACATTAGGGGAACAAAAATGGAAAACAGAAAATCCCCTGGGCATAGCAGGGGCTAAGAAGGGACTGGATGGTTTTTGTGTGTTTGTCTCACCCCCTGACATGTATGTCTCCACGTGTTTGCAGGCAGAGGCAATGAGACAGAGAAGTGGGGAAGTAATGAGAATGCAAAAGAGAAGGACAGTAAGTAGGAAGGTCTGCTCAAAAAATCGAGTGGAAACGATCAAAGAGGGAACTGAGGAAAAAAGGACAAGAGAAATGCTTTCCCTTTAACAGTAGGAACAGGCAGCTACTTCACGCCTCATGTTTGAACTGTTTGTCTTTCTTACTATTTAGGTTTTTGAAAGAATTAATCGTATGTGTGTGTTGTGTTTCTAGCTTACATTTTATGAAGGCTGTTTCCTAACTTGTATTCTTCAAGCTGTAAAAATGGAACAGCCAGGCCATGGATTTTAGGGAAAGGATTATCACACTGCATTAAAAACAAACCTATCCTGGGGCGTCTGGGTGGCTCAGTTGGTTAAGCGTCCAACTTCAGCTCAGGCCATGATCTCACAGTTCGTGGGTTCAAGCCCCACGTTGGGCTCTGTGCTGGCAGCTCAGAGCCTGGAGGCTGCTTCAGATTCCATGTCTCCCTCTCTCTCTGCCCTTCCCCCACTCACACTCTGTCTCTCTCTGTCTTTTTCAAAAATAAATAAACATTAAAAAAAAAAAAAAACTATCCAAGGTTTAGAAATAGTGTGAGACAAAAAATGCATTACTTAGGAGCCGTCTTTTAGAAGTTTTGTGAGGCCGAAACTCCTTGTTACCCACGCAGTAATTCCTTCTGCAGTCTTCCCCCCTTTCAGGGATTTGTGAGCTCACCGTCAAACATATAATATGTACCTTTTACTACCTGTAGTTTGGGTAAGCCCATCAGCCACATGCAGTGTCCAAATTACAGAATGAGAAGAACGTACTTGAGCCAGGTAGCACTACTGTGGAATAAATAAAGACATCCTCTGGCCATGGGCCTAATTCAGTGAGACAAAAGAATCAGACACCACACGAGCACTTACCTTAGGGTTATCGGGGGGAGAAAGCATTGACCCAGCCATATCCTTACAGAGATAACCCATAAACTTCACACCATAATATTCCAATACTGATTTCTCCATTTCAGAACAACATTGTATTACAAATAGATTTAACCTGAAAACGTGGCACCTCTGGCTTTTGTAGCCACAGTCATGATTTCTTTCATGTTAGTCCCACAGGGTATGGTAATGGTAAAAGTGTAGACTGGTTTGTTCTAATTAAAACTCTCAGGGTTTTCATTTGTCTGTCTTCCAACTGATGCTATGTTAATCACTAGCAGAAATCACAAATTAATGACCTGGAGTTTCATTCAATTCACAAACATTTTGTTTGGCCACATTTTAATTTAAATACTTTTTGAGCCAATATCTAAAAACCATGAAATTTCACATTCAAATCTAGATTTCCCTTCTCTCTGAAGAAATAGAAATATGACAGCAGGGGTTCTGGTTTCCAAATGAATCTGTCCAATGTGTCAAGTGGTCTGTTTCTTTTTTCTTCTTTTCCAGCTAGTATAATCCTCAGGCCTAAATTTTCTACATTTTTATTTTTATTTTTTTAATGTTTATTTGTTTTTTGTTTGTTTTTTTTTTTTTTTTTTTTTTTTTTGAGAGAGAGAGAGAGATAGAGAGCAAGCAGGGGAGGGACAGAGACAGAATCCCAAGCAGGCTCCGTGCTGTCAGCACAGGGCCTGATGTGGGGCTTGAACCCATGAACCATGAGATCATGACCTGAGCTGAAATGAAGAGCTGGATGCTTAACCAACTGAGCCACCCAGGCGCCCCAATATTTTTAAGTTTACATTTCTTTGCTAAGATTTCTCTTGTTTTCCCTCGTGGTGAGCATTTTTTTACATCTCTGAGCACAGACATGGTTAAAATAGCTGCTTTAAAATCTGTGTCTACTTGTCCTGACATTGGCCTTTCCTGACTTTCTCCCTCTTTTTTTTTTTTTTTTTTCAACGTTTATTTATTTTTGGGATAGAGAGAGACAGAGCATGAACGGGGGAGGGGCAGAGAGAGAGGGAGACACAGAATCGGAAACAGACTCCAGGCTCTGAGCCATCAGCCCAGAGCCTGACGCGGGGCTCGAACTCTCACGGACCGCGAGATCGTGACCTGGCTGAAGTCGGACGCTTAACCGACTGCGCCACCCAGGCGCCCCATCTCCCTCTTTTGAAAAGGGATCACATTTCCCCGTTCATCATTGGTCAAGTTGTTTTCAACCCTCTCCTGGACATTGTGAATGTGATGTTCTGGAGAGACTTTTAATTCTATCATATTCCTCTGAAAAGATTTTTTTGTTTGTTTTTAATCTACCAGAGAACATGGTTGGATTTAAGTTAAAAAACTCTGGGGGGTAGCTCAAATCTCAATTTAGTATACATTTTTCCTTAGTCCATCTATTATAGTCTCCCTCATGCAGGTGTGGCATGGAGTTCACCTACAGACCTGAACACCCTTTCTAAGTGGGATTTTGTCCTCTCCCTTCCTGGCTTTCTCCTTTCTGATCGCCCCTCCCCTCCCCTTCCATCAGCTTTGATTGTCCCAAAATCTATCCCCGATTCTTCAGGCCAGATAGACTTTCTGTCAGAGTTGTAACTGGCCCTCAAGCTACTAACTACCATAAAGCAGCAAACTCACCCATGTTGTCTCTTCTTTCAAGTGTGTGACATCTCCCAGAGTGTGTCTGCTTTGGTTATCTCTTGAGGGGTATCTGGTATCCTTTGCCTTTTGTGTTTTTCCCAGAGTTTATAGGTGTTGTTTGTGGAAAGACTGAGTCAAGTGGGAGATAATCAACCATATAGAAACAGAATGATTAATGCTCAATAAGTTCCTTTCTTCAGTATACATTTAGAAGACAAGGGCACATACTTGTTTTTGCTTCTGAACCATTCTGGCCTTCCCGAATATCAGGCAACAGCAACAATAATATAATCATTTCAAAGTTTTAATAACAATGGAAGAACGTGCTTCCATTTCCTTGATGGCTGTGGATCTTCGGTGATGAATTATCAGCTCATTTGCTGCTGGCACCAGTTTTTTCTTTTTTTTTTTTTTAATGTTTTTAATGTTTGTTTATTTTTTAGAGAGATAGAGACATAATGCAAGTGGGTTGGGGAAAGGAAGGGAAGAGAGGAAAGGAGACACGGAATCTGAAGCAGGCTCCAGGCTCCGAGCTGTCAGCACAGAGCCCAATCCGGAGCTCGAACTCACGAGCTGTGAGATCATGACCTGAGCCAAAGTCGGACGCTCAACCGACTGAGCCACCCAGGCGCCCCTACCGCTGGCACCAGTTTATTACCGGAAGCACTGGAATTCCAAATCTATGTCGAGCTGTTTTCTCTTTAAGAAAGGGAGAATTGGAGGAATTGTTGAAAACCAAGGTGACATGTGTTGTCCATTTGTCTCTGTATTTTATTTTATTTTTTATTTTTTTTTAAATTTTTTTTTTCAACGTTTATTTATTTTTGGGACAGAGAGAGACAGAGCATGAACGGGGGAGGGGCAGAGAGAGAGGGAGACACAGAATCGGAAACAGGCTCCAGGCTCTGAGCCATCAGCCCAGAGCCTGACGCGGGGCTCGAACTCACAGACCGCGAGATCGTGACCTGGCTGAAGTCGGACGCTTAACCGACTGCGCCACCCAGGCGCCCCTTGTCTCTGTATTTTAAAAAAGAGGATGATTCTAACACAAGAACATGTTTGAGTTTATCCTCATGTCTGTGTGTTCCTAAATATTAGAGAAATAACAAATATAATATCACTTGAAATTATTATGTTGAAGACTCAGCAATCATAGCAGATATCAGTTGCCATTACTATATGTCACCAGTGATCCCTTAGGTGAGTCTTGGGGATTAGCATAGTGTGTTAGTTATCTACTACTGTGTTGCAAACCATCACAAACTTAGTGTCTTAAAACAACACACACTGATGTTTGCACAGTTTCTGTGACTTAGGAGTCTAGGCTCAGCTAAGCTGGGCTCTCTGTTTAGGCTCTCACAAGGTTGTAGTCTAGGTGTTGAGCATATTGGTTCTCTGGTGGAGGTTCAACTAAGGAAGGACCTCTTTCCAAGTGAACTCAGGCTGCTGTCAGAAATTGTTTCTCCATGGTTGTAAGACACAGGCCCTTGGCATCTTGCTTGCTGTTGGCTAGTAGCTTCTCCCAGCTCTAAGAGACCACACTTAGTTCTTTGGCTGTTTACCCTGTGACTTCTGCAAGGAGAGTGTCTAGACCATGTCTGTTTGCAACATGGAGTCTTATATGTCATAATGTGGCCATAAGAGTGACAGCTCATCACCTAAGCTGTATCCTGATGATTACAAACAGGTCACAGATCCTGTCTACACTCAAGGTGGAGGGTTTACACAAAGGTGCGGATGCCCATCAGGAAGTGGGGATAGAGAGGGCTCCCATAGGAATCTGTCTGCCATACCTACTGTTATGTCATCATTTTTGAATGTCCTATAAACATCTACTTTGGAAAGTCTCTTTTTGTTTGTTTGTTTATTTGTTTTTTTTACAAATATATACAAAATAGAGATAAAGGTTCTATTTTGGCTATAATACAGGGTTTGAAGATGGTCACCTGCCTTGTTAACATCTTTCTTTTTTCAATGTTTTTATTTTATTTTTGAGACAGAGATGGAGTGTGAGTGTGGGCGGGGCAGAGAAAGAGGAAGACACAGATTCTGAAGCAGGCTTCAGGCTCTGAGCTGTCAGCACAGAGCCCAGCATGGGGCTTGAACTTGTGAACCATGAGATCATGACCTCAGCTGAAGTGGGTCGCCTAAATGACTCAGCCACTCAGGCGCCCCTACATCTTTCTTAACCTACCTATATTTTCTTTATGATGTGAATGAACATTTATACTGCATGTGGAATAGAGAAGAAGCAGGCATTTTTACTAGCCAAAATCATAAAATTGTAATTACCAACATTGCAAACTCTTTTAACCCATGAGCAAAATCAGAGTAGTTAACATTGAGCTTTCTTCTCTCTTGTTTCTCTTCATTTTTCTTCTCTTGTGCCATCATTGTCATTGAATTTTATCTAAAAGAGGAATTGGGGCACGTAGGTGGCTCAGTAGGTCGAGTGTCCAACTCTTGATTTCGGCTCAGGTCATAATCTCACGGTTCGTGGGGTCGTGCCCCACATCAGGCTCCGCACTAGCATAGAGTGTGCTTGGGTCTCTGTCTCTCTCTCTTCCTCTTCCCCTTTCCCCACTTTCTCTCCCTCTCTCTCAAATAAAAAAAAATATATATATAATAATACAACACAATACAACAAATAAGGAACAAATTCAGGGATTAATAGCTGCTCAGCTGATTAACCAAATTCAAAGCAAAAGCATTTGTGCTCGTTTCCAAAATGTTCTTGTTCTTCCTCTCCTTGGAGATGTACCAGGAATGCGCTTTCTTTTGGTTGGAAGAATGACGTGTTTTGGTTAATGATGCGCGAGCTAACAGAACCACGTACAGGTCACCATCCTCCTCCTCCATTTCTTCCCTGACAACAACGTTGAAAAGGGATATTATGTAGAGATCACAAATTGTGATGCTTGGGGCTCTTGGGTGATAAAACAAATGGTGGTAATAGAGAAGATGTTTAGATACTTGCAGTTTGGTTGAGAAGTGTCCCAGGGTAACCCTAAAAATACATTAAAAACTCACAGGTGACGAGTTTCCAGGTTGTTATCAAATGACTCTGGTAAAACCCATTCATCAACATGGAAACTTTTTAGACACGAAAGGAGTATTAAATCGGAAGCTTACAGGCAACATCCAATTTTCAGGTGATAAACCTACTATCTGTAACTTTCTGGGAGACTCAGCTGCAATACTGCATTCTCTAATTCATCTTCTATTCAAATGAGTTGATTCTGTCCCTCTCCCTGTTGGCAGACATCCAATGACACCTTTGAAATCCCCCTCATGTTGACTGGGAATGTGGTGTTAAGGAAGAGGCTCAACTATGAAGACAAGACTCGGTACTTTGTCATCATCCAAGCTAATGTGAGTATTCATTCCCCCTCGCTTCCCTCCTGGGAGCTTAGGAATAAAGAACTCTCCCAAATGTGTCAGTGCTCACAGAGTGCCCGCTGGAATTTATGGCCTCAACGGGGTAGGCTGCCCACAGCAAAATTTATATATTCTGTTCTTCTAGATGGGGAATGGGATGGAATGGAACAGGAGGAGTGTTTCTACCCACTGTTCCCTTCACTCTGAGTCACATTCCCACCCTTCGGTAATTTGGCTTTAGTTTGCCCTGAAGCGTTTCTCAAATTGTGACACAGAATGTGACACAGAGTGTGACACAGAGTGTGACCTGCAGGAGAATCACCTCGGTGCATACTAAACACGCAGGTTCCCGGGCTCTGCCTCAGACCCTCTGTGCAAACATCTCACAGGGTGGAAGTGGAATACCTGAATGTTTTACTCCCTGGGGGATCGCCATGTATGCCAAAGAAAGAGAAGACGTGTCCAGTTGGTAATCTTTTCCCCCTTGGCTGTCATTTCTTGAACACCTGCTCACTAGATGTCAGCTACTGGGACTGTAACCAGGATGTATGTACAGCAGGAAGGGAAAAGCTGAAAACCAGTCGCTTATATAACGTGGACTTTTATCGTTACCTTAATAAAGCCCCAGCTGTGTGTGGATCAGGTGCTGGTTTGGCACCTCAGGTATATCACCAAGGACCGGGTTTCTTCTGCCCTCACACTGGGCCCCTTTCCTGACACTTGGCCATTTTCCCAGTGTCCTGTTCGTCAGGTGCTAGTGACTACCACAGCCCTAAACACCACGGCTGCATTTCAGGTCTGACTGCCAGCAGGTGGAAAGGGGGTGAAACCAGGACTCTTCTTGTTTGCTGATCATCCTTCGACTGTGAGGAAACTCCTGCCCAGAGTCCTCTCCCTTCTAACTTCCCTCTCCAGCCTGGGATCACAGAGTCAGCCTAGAGAAAGGAAGCTGAGGAAGTCTTATGTAGCAAAAGGGGTGAGGTAGCCAACTCTAGATTGCACCAAGTTCTGTGCATCTCCTGATGCTGGACACACTGATAACCTGGGGAAGGGGGTGGAGAGGAGTCAGAGGGGGACTGGGAGGGGGA